CAAACCTGCCTCGCCCTATTTACCTTCAGGGGCCACTAGTCCTTCCAGTGGCTCTCCAGAACCAGTCATAGTTCTGCCCATACTGTTTGTTCTAAGGTATCACATTTGATCATTTTTTCATTACTATGAAGCTTTTTTCCCTAAAATAATAAACATTTACATTCACAATGCAAAATACACTTGGTATTTCCGTTAGCCTGTATGGAGCCTTATTCAGGGCTTGCAACACTGTGGTTCATTTTCCTAATAGAAAGCATGACAAATCTAGATACAAGACTTAAAAGCTCTTCCAGAGCAAACAGAAATGATGAATTATCCTAAGAATATGAAACACTTGAGGCCAATAATTACAATTAATCTTCATTTCTAACTCAGTTCCATAAAAATTTAGAATTTTCATCCAGTTCTTTGGGATTTCCCAGACTGTCCTGCACTTTTTATTTGTATTCTTTTCACAACCTAACGGAAAGAGAACTGGTGATCAGACAAAAGGATGACAGCTAATGGAAGTCCAGCCATGTCAAAAAACACATCTTGAAAGTACGCCGCTGCTACCATTTTATATAGTCATTACTGTCCCTAAATCCCAGGCACATCCATAGCACAGGCTATATCTTACATCACAACATTGGTGTCAGTAGTACTTCTGCCCCAGCAAGACAACCAAGAAAGGCAGACTCTCACAGGAAAGGTAATCTAACTTAGAACAAAAATTTTCTGACTGAACTATCCTGCTATTATTTCAGTATGGGTAGAGAGAATGCCAGACCATGGCCTCAAAGAAGGTCCAAACTGGCCTTATTCATTTCGATGGAGCAGTGTTTTAAACAGAATGCTGTCTTTTAAACAGAAGCTTCTATTGACCAGCTTACTGGTGTTGAAGGCAGCAATTTGAGTACAATGTCAAAGTTTTGCATCTTACTCATGTCCAAAGCTTGTTCTTGCCATTATTTTTAGCAGCATCAGTGGCTCATTAGCTCCTTTCACCAGTACAGAAATTTGGGGCTTCAGAAAAGCTACACCACTTAAGAGAAAAAATGAGATTCGTTTTCTCCAAGACATTCCCTCAAACTTCTACCTAATTTAATGCAAATCCACAGACAAGTAGGAGCAGCAATTCTGCATCACAAACGATAAGGAGTTTGGTTTAACTACGTGACAAACATCAGATAAATAATTTCAGCTTCTAATTGAAACATTTTAAATGAAAATAAATTATCTTGCAGTTTCATTTAGTAAGTTCAAAAATATTCAGTTACATTATTTATCCACCTGGAGTGGTTTCTGGTTACTTTTTTTTTTTCCCCCTATGCAGGTAGGCATTCATGATTAGCTATATTTTTGAATAAATGTTAGTTTTGTCCAGGGATGTAAAACTTAATATTAAGTTTATTGTTTGCTATTTTGACAATTATTTAACTATGGTCAGATATAAAACATGCTTAATTTATTTGATTATTCTGTGGTATTATCAAACTAGAAGACTTAGTAATCACAAAAAGCTCAAAGAAATTCCAATTCTGAGAAAGCTTTTATTTTTCAGTTAGAAACTGTGTCTCTCAGCAGCTTCTTGTCTACAAAGGAGTGCATACAAAGAGTATACTTCTTTCTCCAAAGGACCGCTCCTACACCTGAAACCTTAAAGCAGGTTGTGATACAACAGTCACCAAATCATTTCATGTTCCCTATGACAGAAAGAGCAAGCAGGCAGTGAAGCTGAACGGATGCCTGCCTGCCATATCTGTCAGTGAACATGATATGTTTGCACAGGTTTATTTGTTTTCCAAGGGCTAGCAATGAGTAGGAGGATCAGGATCACTCTTATCATATAATACCCTTATGGATTTCTTGAGGTAAAAATCTTTCAGCCACCCTCAAGGTATATCAGTTTTCAGGCTCATAACCTTGACAACATCCTTTTGTATACTGATATTCCACGCTTTACTTGTCTTATACACAGCTACTGCATCACAAATGTATCTGGTACTGCAAGCTGATTCATAGACACACTTGCTCAGGTAAGGCATAAATCTCCACAGTGTCAAAGACCCCAGTACAATGAAAAGAAAAAAGTAGAATTCCTGCCTCTTTACAGAATACAGGATTAAAAAAATACAAATTAAAAAAAAAAAAAAAGGCTTCGTGTTTTGTTTTGAACACCATGAGTGCTTATTTCTTTTAGCTCTTATTCTTTCTGTCCAGGCTGAAGGACCTTTAACAATCAGCAAAGACAACATGGGAACAGGACTGTCTGTAAGACAGTCTTCTCAAAAGAAAAAAGGGTGTACTTGCTACCCACTCACCTGACACCAAAAAGCTGTAATCTGAAATCCCAGACTGCAGTTTTGGTGGTTGCAGCCTCAACTCAACCTCCTAGCCTGGTTCCCTATCCCCTGCTTGAGCCTCTGTTTTTCTTGCTACTGGCCTGGAACTACTTGTTTGTACCACATCCTTGAGATAAGCCCAACAAGCCTGTCAGAGTCAGCTGAAGTCTGTCTGGAGAGCAGAATGCTCATTAAACATTTTTTCACACACTGATGATCTTTCCTTCTTCTTTTTTTTTTTTTTCCTCTCTTTTCTCTAGTCTTCAGAAAAAAGAGATGGGTTTGAGAGTTGGTGCAACTGATGCATAATATGACTAAGTCAATAGGAAAGTAAAGATTTTTTTAAATGTAGATTATTGATCTGTAAAATTGTAAGGGCTCCTTCAAAGTCATTAGGGTTTGTCATGTCAATATATTAGTAAGGACTTCTATAAATAAAGATTAATGATGCTAGGGATAATTATTTCTGAAGAAACTCACACATTTCTCAGTATGTGGACACTGGGCAAAGGAGAATAGTCTAAGGTGCACTCAAGTTCTCCTTGAGTGCACCTTAGCTCCTTTTCTGTTTCTAGAGCAGGAGGAAGATTTCCTTTGGCCCAATGGAAGTTAAACTCCCAGTCTTGTTGACAATCAGTGATAGTTGAGTTGCCTATCTCTGATTTGTGCTTTAAAATAGTAATACACTCAAATACCTTGACAGTAGCTGCTTCACAGAACTACTAAATCCACAAAACAAGATCCTCATGAATATTTTTTTTCATTCTGAAATAGTCTGGATAAGCAAAATCATTGCTTTCCTAAATCAAATGCTCAAGCCACATTTTTTTCTTTTTATGGTTCCCTACAAGACTTTTTCATATATTTTCCTAAAGGCCTAACAAAATGCATCTTAAAGAAGACAAAGCTTTTTGCTAAGTTCCTGTATTGTAAAGAATTTCTCAAAGCTAATAACCTTATTTCACAGGGTCGTTCATGTTCATATTTATTTTTTTATCTAAAAACATTGAATTTGATATTTCTGCTATTATATATTTATAGGCTCCAAATGCCTAATATAAGATAAAAAAATTGTATGGCTCTTCTATGGTTTCCCTTGTTTAAATATATGTGAAAAGCTAAAATTGGTTGGGGATCATTTGATTTTCAATTATGAAGCATTGATTTCCAAAACAGTCCTTAGCATTATTTTTTTTCCAAGAAGTACCTGTTGAAAGGTTTTATTAATCAGTTGGCAAGAGTGGCAAACATACTTTGGCAAAGTTTGAATTGGATTGAGGCAAACACAGCTTGATCACCCTTTGTGGATGGAATCAAAATGATCTGGGTATAGGCTTTTTGATTTCTAAAGAAAGATAATCAAAGACAAAATAAATTCGAATCCATGCTAAGATATCTTGGCTCTTTTCCAATTGAAAACCAAACTGGCAAGCTAGAGCACAAATCCACATTCTAGTTCAGAGAGAGAACAAAGTCAAATCTGTTTTGACTGTAGCCAAATCATAACTCACAAAACACTTTGCAGAAAGTTCCTCTGCATCCTGAAGTCTTTAAACAGTGGGGTATTTTGAAGAAAAATATCTTCACATAGCAGAAAAATATCTAGCAGCTAGATATATGAAATACCTGCGCACAAAATTCTCTCATCAAAGGGAGCATTATAAAATGAAGTCAGATAAAATGTTTTGCTTCATTAGAATCATTCTGTAATATTTAACTCCTGAGCTCTTAGTAAAACGTATGTCCCACTCTTCCTTTACTTAAGTTGTTAGAGTTTATTCTGGTCTTGAATAAGATGATGAACAGTTAACAGTCACTATATGAACATGAGAAGTAGACTGCAAAATCACATTATACTGCAGATCACATTTCTAACTCTATTGGCATACAAGTTGTTCATGAATCCAGAGACCCTGTTTCTTGCATTAGGGGTTTACAGCCACACCAACAAAAATAAATAAATAAATAAATTGCAATTATTTTTAAACAGGTACTTGTCCTGCCCTTGTGTGTATACATTGTAAGGGCTGGAACAACCAGGAGGAAACAAACTTCACATTGTCAAAGTTTAGTTCTAGTTTTTGTTACAGTATTAGGAATGAAGCACAGGAGATAGACAACACTGGAAAACAATGATCTGTTATTCATGATGAAAAAAGCGCATTTAACACACAGTGTCCATGAAGTTAATTAACCTTGGCAGATAACTGTATACAGTATCAGTATACATGTTTCTAAGGTTCTTTCCAGGAATTCCTCAGGGGCATATATAGATATTACCTAACATATCTATTTTTATGATAGAAGCATATTTTATCATTTGATTTCTTGACTTTACTGTCTTCTTTTACTATCTTTTCAACTGTACCATCATTAGAAAGAAGATGCTGAAGATGATGAAGACCAAGAAGATGCTGAAGATTATGAAGCAAGAGAATGCTGAAAATGGTTCTGAAATACTTAAATTAAAAAAAAAAAAAAAAAAAAAAAAAAAATTGATAAAAGTCTATCAATTGAATATCTCCTCTCTTAGATACTGATTTGTGAACCAATGCCAGGACATACAAATATACACTAGGAAAAAAAAAGTGTCCCACAAACCAAACACCTCTGAATTTGTTGACAGAAACTTCAGATACAACAGTATAATTAAAAAAAAGAAAAAGTATCTCTTACCTTTATGATGATTTGCCCCAGATGCTAATTTCCCCCACAGAGTTACAACAAATATTATAATTAGCAGCTTTCCTTTTGTTGCTTTCTGTAAGTATCTCTTATTCATCCTGCAAACAAAAATACACAAAAATAAGTATTTCTCTTAAGAATTCTTTTACTTTTTTCCTTAAATTAAGGAGAATTCAATAATTTTTTTTTTTTAATTTTCTGGTTGATATCCTCTAAGTCTTATATTCTGCTTAGCTCTAAATAAGTTATGTCATATACAACATCAGTACAACCTCTCTCCCTGGTTCATCAGCATTTCTCTACCCTGGTCAGTACCAGGAGGATTCAAGACCTCCATGCATCAGATTTATACCCATACAGAAGCAGTTGTAGCTATGCAATAGATTTCCCTGAACAGTGCAGTTTCACTGGTGCATTTGGGCCAGTCATAGCCAATCAGGTGCCCATGTGCAGTGGAATCTTTAGCTTTTGGAATTGCGGCACTCTTTGGATTCTGCCCATGAGTCACAAGGAAAAAACAGATTTGAATAGACCTTCAACATTTATACCAATGGGCCCACAGGAGAAATCCTGTTAGGAAGATGTGAGTAGTTTGGAAATACAAACCCTAACAGGGCAGATTCTCTAGTCTCTCTCCTATCTGTCCAGGGGTAATGAAAGAATTTGAGTTACTGCACACACAGAAATTGCACACAGCTACCTTCATGTAATGTTTTCACTGTGCCAGCAGGCTACTGTAGTGGTTCAAGTACATGGTAACATGGCTTATTTCTCAGTAACCTCCTTCAAAGACAAAATACCTCTCCACCTGCCAAGAAGACAAGTTCAAGAACATAGGCTCTGGTGCTTAAGGATTACAGCTCTGCAGAGAGTGGCAAGAGGTATAATAATGAAACCTTCTCTCACTTTTCATTCTTTGTAGGAGAGCCCTCGGGAGCTGGCTAAGAAACAGCTCTGCACGATGGTCAGGTTTCTGCTGATAAATCAATAGAACAATGATGCCTATTCTACATCACTTATACTAGCAAAGGTGCAAACTTGATCACTTGAACAAAATTATTTCTGTTCTATAATGCCTGGAGCTAGGCTGACTTCTCTTTCTGAGGAAAAAAAAAAAAAATACAAACTTCATTGCTTCACCATGATTGCACGTGTCTCCCATTCGTAAGAAGTCTGGAAGAATTTGAAAGTATCTCTTTTTGTTCATGTACAACAATATCTTGGGCAATGACAAGCTCTGTGAAAGGTAGACTGCTGTAGTGTAGAAATAACTAGTAGCCCTTTCAAAGTCCCAAAATTCTTTTTAATCCTTCAAAGCAATTCCTTTCCTCTGAGCAAAGTGCTTTCTAACAAAACACTATATGCTGTTGAGGCAAGCCACAACACCCCACAACCCAGCTCGTAGTTCCCAGACTCATAACCAGACCACTTCTCCCAAAACTGTACCTTGCTCTCCAGGAGATTGATACAATCTTGTTAAACGTTGATGAGATTCCACACCAGGCTATGTGCAACAATACATTACAACTCAAATTAACAACCCACTGAGGAGCATTCCAAACCCCTTTAAACCTGAAATCAGAGCAAATACAACTCAGCATCCTTTGACAGAAGTCACACTACTATAGCAGTGTTTCCCAGATCAGATACCACATTTATCAAGGAAAAAGAGAGAGGAATAAGCAAGTGTTGTATCTAGGATTGTGGATGTGCTCGTGAAAGCCTGACTGATTAATAATCACGGTGGAGGTCACAGTGGGCTGTGAACCACACCAAGTTCTGCCTCCTTGCAGTGATTCCAGTGCCTTCATAGTGTAAACTACATATTCATCATCACTTCCAGGTTTACGAAACACCCAAAGCTAAAGGGAAATATATTATTTGTCACTGTAAATAAGAACAAAAAAAGATTAAACTGGAATGCACATTCAGCATATGTTCTTCCACAGCTATTGCTGTGAACAGAATATGAATTAACTCTTTCACTCCCTCATTCTCTTACTGCACCTGGTACAATGCTGGTGCCAAGTCATCTCTCATTAAAATCAAATTTTTCTTCCTCACCTACTCATCCCTACCCAAAGCCCTGTAGGACTTGCACCATTAAGCAAAGCTGACTCTAATGTAGTCACTTCCTGTACTCACTGCTGATGCAGGATTCACTTGCTGTGCTGTGAGGCTAGCAGAAAATGTACAGCAGCAAATGTAAATACACAATGAAAAACAGTAGCAGTAGGAGTAAAAAGAGAAAACTAACATATCTGCCTGTGAACAACAGCCCCTCAGGGCAAGTGGAAGAGTTAGGATACAAACCTCTCCCCACTGCCCAGCACACCAACAGGGAATAAACCAGCAATGAATCTAGCAGAGGCTGTTCTGCAAAGCATAAGAAGGTTTCAGTTTTGATGCAGCAACCCTGGGCTGATTGCTATTGCCAGATTTCCCAGTTCTGAGAAAAAGCAGGCAAACAGATAACAAGGAGAGACTACTGAGCATGCCTATGCTCAGTATCTCAGTGTATGCATTACCACACGAACTCAGAAACTGTGATGTTGGTTATTTTTTGCAGATTTGCAAAGAAGCCTAAGATGTACCACTGAGAAGACAGTGCAACAAGGCAGCATTTGGCCTCATCTTTGAAACATAACTATTAGCCCCTTGCAACCCTGTCCATGTCAAGTTAAGTGGATCCAGGAAATAAAATTCAGTCTATTACTGTACCATTATTACACTAACATAACAGGCTGTGTTAAATGGAACAAATGAGGTCTGAAATGAGGTCTATTTTTCCTAGAGGTGATTCAGAGATGCACAAACTATAGCTGTTAACCTGAATGGTTTTCTCTGTGAGACATTTTTCTCTTCTATTTTCCTTTCTTTCTGCAGAACCTCTCTCACCATGATCCTTACAACCCTCAGTAATGCCATATAAGATAGAGGTGAACAAAGCTGAGAACAGCCATGTTATAGGAGATGTTTACATTTGAAAATCAGTTTTACACACACACACACAAAAAGTACAATCTTTATATGTAATAAAAATTTCCTTCAATCTTTAGCCCTAAAATATTAGAAATAAGCCCAATGAATTCTCAGATCGTTCACTCAGACAAGAAAATAAAAGGCTTTTTTTTTTTTTTTTTTTTTTGAGTTCATTTTCAATGTGCTGAGAGGCAAGGAAAAAGAAAGGTCCTTTTGTGGTTGGTCCCAGGAATACACTCAAAATAAACAAATAAATGTCACCAGCACAATTCAAACAGGTGGTGACTTGACAGTGAGATGATTGTGCTGTGACCAGCTCTTCACCAATACTATAACAAAAGGAATAAATTTGCTAATTTTTGTTCCAGAACATTCCTTTCCCCTGATGTACCCACTAGGCCATCATCAGTCTGGTATCAGGGACTTAAGGATAGACTGTTTTGGCAATAAATAACAAAAATAAATAAATAAATAAATAAATAAATAAATAAATAAATAAATAAATGGAAGGCTTAAAAATTGCAGGATTTTCTCCTGGGGTGAAACCACATCTGATGTCTGATGCTGCAGAGAAGCTTTGCAGATCACCATGTCAGCAGAAACCCTTCTGCCCAGCCTCTGTGATTCATCAGATGCCAACTGTAATTGCACTAATAGGCTGCACAGGCTGCTCTCATTGCTACTCCATCTCACTCTCAGCCCCCTCCCAACAGCAGACGTGGATCAACTATTTGGCTATACTAAAACTACTGTGCACAGATGTATATTTTCAATATCCACTGCAGAATGAAGCTTCCATAACCTTTTGAGCTTCTACATTCCTCTTTCTTTGCATCTGGGCTTGAGATCAGCCACCTTGCCAATGGTTCAGAAATAGAGGAGAATCACATGGGAGTTGCCTTACATTGTATGGCCAATGCTAAATTGCCTTGCATTCCTGTTTTAAGTGAAAATATGAATTATTAGGAAATAATTACATTACCTCGTGTAATCTTTATTGTTGAGGAGGGAAAAATGTAAGAAAATAATAGCTTTAATTCTTCCCCTTAGAGCTCATATACAAATAAAACTCTCATCTGTTTCCTGAGAGTAACAGCAATTTTCTGTTTCTCCTTTTGTTTCTCTTCTTTACAAGCATCTGATTCTGTGAAGCTTTTCAGAATTCATTCTTTCTTGTTTTACATATGCAGAAACTTTCAGTGTCAGTGAGATCCATTTGTCTTCTGCAAACACATATACCCTTTGAATGCAAGTGTTCATAAAGAGAAGTGTAAGCCTATTTCTCTACTGAATCCTGATAAAACACGAGACAAAAACTTGATAGAAAATTAGCCCCACATTCTCTCATTTTTCTTTTTACAACAAATATTTTATTTTCTACTTCAGAGAAACCCTAAATTAGTAGAAATCATTTCTGACCCCACGTCTCTCCTACAGAAATAATGCAGCCATTTAAATTATGTTCCGTGCTGTGTTGAATCTTACATTATTTATTAGCTGTGTTAGTTTCATCATCCCACGCAATGCAGGTATTTGCAGCTTTATTTAGCCTTTCCTGTGTAAGCTAATGCAGATTTAAAAATGCCCCTCTGGTGGATAAGGTCACTTTGTAAAAGTAACACCGATATGACCCCTGTGTGTTTGCATATATATAAATTCCCTCTATGACATTCCTGTCATGTTTGCTCAGTGAACAAGTAATTTGCCACTCTCATTACTTCAGGTACCAGGTAGCTTGTGAAAATCAATCTTCTTTCTGCTTCATACATCACAGCCTGTAACAGACACAAAGTGCATTCTGATTCTGAAATGAAGCTGGGGGAAAAATTACAGACCCATTCTCATGAGCTACTGTGTTAGATCTAGGTTGGTAAGAAAAGAAAGAGAAAAGGTGGTTGGATTAGTAATGTGTGCAAGTCTTAGATGAGAGTCAGACAGGAATTCTCTGTATACAAAGCAGAAGTGGTAGGTTGTGCTTGTTTGTTTGTTTGTTTGTTTGTTTTTTGCTTTTTCTTTTTTGACATTTTTTTTTTTTTTCAAAAAGTTATTTACTAGTGTGAATCCTTTAATGGGATCCACAGGATCCTATCCGTAGGATAATTAGCACTAGGGATCT